TGGCCCCTGCCACGCAGAGCCAGGCGGCCGGTACGTCCCCGTCTGCCGCTGACCCTCGCGCTGGCCTGATTGGATCTTCTCTCTGCACCAGCTGTATTTATTTTCGGGCCGTTGCTGCTGCTGGCTGTCCTCCCTCCCTCCCCTGCCTGTCCCCTCCCCGGACTCCCCCTGGGGTTTAACGTGCTCCCTGCAAGGTGCTGCAGTGCAGCGTAACCCAAGACCCCCCGACTCAGCACACAGATCGACCTGGGGCTGCAGACACCTCTCCTCCTCCCGTCTGTCCTCGGGCTGGGCTTTTTCCAGTGTTGGTATTTTTTTTTTTTTTCTTTTTAGCTCAAATGGATTTCATCCCATTTGCCCAGAATTAAGCTCCTGCAGATTTTAATTTGCTGACATTTTCTTCATCCGTTTGGTTGTGGATAGCAGGGATAATGCACGTGCTGCGCCGGTTCCTCCCCGCTCCCATCCCCTGCCCATATGGCTGGTATGTGTAGTAAAGTGCACAGTTGTAGTTCTGCTCAAGAATGATGAAATACGGCAGCGAGGGGGAAAGATGAGCTGTCTCGGGTGAGTAAGAACGGACCTTTCCTGGGAGCCGAGGGGGCTGGGAGGGGAATGGGTTTAAAGCAGCTTAATTCTCGAATCTAGCAAACGCCAGCACCGCAAAAACGAGATGTGCTAAAAGTTAATTAACTCTTAGCATCCGTCTTGCATCAGAGCTGCTCTCATCAGGGGCTCTGCGGGCACCGCAGCTCTGCCGGGGAGAGGGAAATCTCTTATTTTGTGTTACTCCATCACCTGCAAATGCCAAAGCCCGGGTCTAGTCCCGGGGGAGCCGCGGGGTTTATCTCCTCTGCTCTCCATGGCTGTGCCAAACGTGTGTGCAGGGGCTGTGTGCATCTTGCACCGGCGTGGGGAGGGGAGCGGGTTATCTTGGGCAGGTCGGGGTCCCAGAGGCGTGCACCTCTTGGCACTGCTCTTATTTCCGAGCTGTTTTCAAACCAGGGCAGAGCTGCGATTCCATCAGAGGAACGGCGCCGGCTCTGCACCCAAGTGCTCTGCAGTGCTGTCGCAGCGGCCGCCGGCTTTTCCCCGGATTCTGGGGGCCAAAGTCGCCCTCCCAGCCGAGCGGTACAGCTGGGATCCTCACCTGCGTTGCACAGGGTTTAGCACTTGCACACCACCGCGTGCCGGCTGCCGTCTCCCTTTGCACCGTGCGTTTCCCCCGCGCTGGCGGCACGGCGGTGCCAGTGCCAGCATTGCACCAGCTCCCGGCAGCGGCGTTTAGCTTTGGAACATCTGTTTGCAGTAGAATTGGGGAGCGATGGAAACGCAGATCCCCTCCTCCCCGCTGACCTGCAGTGTTAGAAAAGCTGGTGCATAAAACACCGGCGTTGATGCTTACATGGACATCGTCCCATTAACCTGGATTTAAATAGCAGGATGCGCGTGTGCTCCGGAGCACGTCCAGCCGTATTAGTTCATTAGACGATCACTCTCGGGCTGTTCAGGCTGCTATATGTTGTCGTGGATCTCCTTTAAATCACGTTGTGCTTCACTCTGCTGCAGGGAGAATAGTTAGGGGTAGTTTGCTACTTCGCTGCTTTGGTTACGGTCCGTTTGCTTCCCGACCAGCCTCTGCTCCTGGGGGAAAACCAAAGCGTGCAGCCGGAGCTGCTGTCCCGCGGTGGCTGGGCCGCGGCGAGCGCCGCTTTGATTGCAGTCACTTCTGATCCCTGACAAAGATAAAATCGCTGCCCACCGGGGGTTCCCTAATTACGGGAGCAATTCTACCAAGTTCATTTTAATAATGCCCCAAACACAATCTATTTGTCTCAGCTTGTTTTTCATGGCAATAAAATAGCTTGGCATGTTCCCGTATTAAAATACTCCAGCCATCTGTGACTGTCTCTGGATAAGAAATTGCATTTTAGCCATCAGGATTTATATATTACGGGTTGTGCTGCTTCCCCCCTTGACCCCCCCTCCACGTACCCGCTCCTCCAAGGCTGGGGGGAGCTTTCTGGCTCTCTCGGGTGCCGATGCAGCTTGCAGCCTGGGTCCCCCCCCCCGAACCCGCGTCGCTCTGGCTGCTGCCTGATGCAGCACTTCAAACTGCAAGCGGACACTGTCCT